AACTTCCGAGACAGAACATGCCGGGGTATGTCCCTTTCCCTGAAGAACCTGGCCACCCTCTCCAGCTCCGGGCTTTGGATTCGACTCAGGCCATCCAAAATGCCGCTGCTCTTCCACAGTGACCCCGAGGTCCTTTATTCCAGCACTTTCCCCTGCTGCTGGGTTCTCGCCCACTGTGATGTCTCGACCCCTTCTAAGCGCCCGGCTGTGGCCATCCGCGGGCCCCGCCTCTCCACCCAGGAGATGCTCAGACTCCATAGACCTGCACACAGGCAGCCAGCTCTGGGTGGGGAGGGGACACCCCAGGCACCTGCACAGCTCCACCGTCCAAGGCCATTCTGTGCGGCTGACTCCATGGAAGGGAGGTCACACTGTGCGTCTGTCACACTGTGTGTCTGTGTGCCTTCCCTCCTGCAGTTCACAGGCAGAGGGTGGACCGAGCTTCCCTCCCCACCACAGCCCTGTGGTCCCAGGGCAACCAGCAGGAGCTGGATGCAGATAATGAAGGAACCTGGATCCTCACGCTGGGCCGATACCCGATCTGATCCCCTGGTTTACGCTTCCTGGACCCGAGCGGACGGCTGGTCACTTGAATCTTGACCGCAGATGTTCTGGGAGGTCTGCCGGCTGAGTCTGGCTCCAGGGGTGGAATTTCAGACGGGAGAAAGCAGCCTTGGCGTGCGAAATCCCAGCGCCACTCCACAGTCAGAGACGGGTTTTTAAAACAGAAACTGATGGCAAACGTGCACCAACAGGCATCCGTTTTTAATAGTCGGACCCAAGCAGAGTTCGTGTGTGTGCCTGTGTGACAGTTTTCATCTAATTTTCGAGTTATCCTAATTGAAACGTGCATGCTTGGCTTTCCAAACAACGTTTTCCCCTAAAAGTTTAAAATATCTAGTGGACAGATAATGACCGAATGGATTCAAGGCGAATCAGGTGACAATCTCATTAAAGTTCAGTGAGTGACGGTGACCACCGCCAAGGCCAACTTCACGCCCACGTCCACCGCCACCTGGGTCAGTGTTAGATCCCGCTGCCTTCACCTGATCCCTGCAAGTGTCACACCCACGTTTGTTGTGGCTGCTGCTGCCGTTGTGGTTGCTGCCTTGGGGACAGTGGCCCTGCAGCCTCACGGGTCCCTCCCCTTTGGCATTGCAAAACCCCAAACCAAACACCAGCCCAACCAACCTCCTTTGTTTTAAAGGTGAGAGAAGTGTGGCCAGCAGGAGGTGACTTACCCAAGGTCACGGGAGGATGTGTGGAGCCAGGCTTTGGCCACTTGGTCCAAAGTTCCAGTTGCCCAAGATGAGTGAGTCCTAGAGATTTGTAGGGTGACGCGTGGCACCCACGGCTAGCGACACTGTCCTGGGCACTTAAAAATGGGTTAAAAAGGGTGGTTCTCAGGCTCGCTGGTGTTACCACCAAAAATAAAGTGGAACCAACAAGGGAGCTTTGGAAGGTGACGGACAGGTCCCTGCCTGTGTCCGACTCCCAAGTGCCTCTGGTAAACCCGTGAGGATTTCCTGTAGGTCGGCTGCACCTTGATAAAACAGACCACGGGATCATGGGTGCAGATTCAGGTAACTCCAGGTCCATCCTGGTCACAGAGACAGGACTCATCCTTCCCTGGATCCCATGGTAATCCATCCATTAAAACCCATGAGTTTAAATCTGCCACTCCCCCCTCTCCCCCCGGCACAGAGGTCCGCAGAACAAGCACCCAGTTCTACTTGCAAGAGTCCAAAGTGGCTGCCATGGGACTTTCCGTATCCACGATCTAAACACCAGCATCCCATGCTCTCCAAATGGCCCGCAACTTCTCTGCCTTGAAATATTCGAGTGGGATTCTTTGCAGTCATAAAGCAGCACCTTCTCATGGTTGGAAATTTGGAAAATGACCAAGAAGGATTTAAAAAAATCTTACTATTTTTTGGTATTTTTTTCCAGTCTTTTCCACGCATGTGTATTTTTTTTACAATCAGCCTCAAACTCCCTTCATGTGAACCTTTTAGGTTCCATTTAATATGATATTAGAGTAAACCCTGAGATTGCTGTTTTCCTGAAATCAAAGAGCACTCTTTGTAAACCTCGCGTTCGTCGCCTGTATGAAATGCCGTCGTGGTTCTGCCTGCAACTCTATAATTTTTATTAAGCCACGCAGACAATTACAAATAAATAATTACAACAAGGTGCGTAATTATGCCTAATTATAAATAACTATAAATCCTGTTATGATAAAGCATCTGACTCCTGTGCCTTCACAGAATATTCTTTTAAAAATAACATTCTCATTTTTGTGGGAGGAAAAAAATAATGGTGTTTTATAAAATAGCTTGAAAGAAGAAGGAAAAAAAAAAAAAGGTTCGTAAAATCATTATCTTGAAATAAGCCTGGGTGCATTTCTTCCAGGTCTGTGTTTTCTACATTTGTAGGCATGTGGAAGCCGCCTTGTTTTTCACCCCACAACGTGCGGGGGAGTTAAATAGAACGTAGGTGCTCGCTGACTCATGGTGGGGTTACGTCCTGAGACACCTGTTGTGAGTCAGAAATATCCTAAGTCAGAAACCTGTTTAATCCGCCTGACCTATTGACTGTCGCAGCTGAGCAACAGCGCCCTGGACAGCGCCTGCTGTTTACCCTGCGATCCTAGCTGGCCAGGAGCTACTGCCTGCAGATAGCGAGAGGGAGGGAGAGAACCATCGGCCCAGAGCCCAGGAAAAGACCCCGATTCAAAATTCCGAGGACGATTTCTTCCAAATACGTGTTACTTTTGCACCATCAAAAAATTGAAAAAAAAAATTTAAATCCAACTGTTATAAGTCAGGGGCCAGGGGTAAGATGAATTTGATTAACTTGAGACCTGACGACTTAGGGGATCTGTTTTTGAAAGGCCTCCTCCGGCCACGTGTGGTGGCGCACGCCTGGCGTCCCAGTGACTTGGACTTGGGAGGCTGAGGCAGGAGGATTGCAAGTTCAAGGCCAGCCTCAGCAACTTAGCCAGGCCCTAAGCAACTTAATGAGACCCTGGCTCAAAATTTAAAAAAAAAAAAAATGGCTGGGGATGTGGCTCAGTGGTTAAGGCCCCTGGGTTCCAGCCCCAGTACCAAAAATAAATAAACACAATAATAATAATAATTTCACTTTCAGAAATGGAGGTTGAGCTTTTTAGAAAGCATTTGGGCATGGCACCTAAGCACCTGAGACTTTTTCTTGTTTTTTTTTTTCTTAATGCTTTGGGTTTGTTTTACAAAATCGCCACTCTGTAGTTGATTGGGGACAAAAAGGTTTTTCCCACCACTGGATGGAGAAGCCCTGCTATCGAGCCAGACCAGCGTAGGGGGCTATAGTGTGGGATAGGGGCTCTCTGATCCCTAGCACAGATGCAGGGCCAGGTTCCCAAAACTGTCCTTTCTCATCACTTGCGGTACTTTTCTTATTCTGTCCCTTGCTGCTCTCAATGAGCACATCTCCATCTCTGATGTCATTATTTTTCTTGTTTTCTTTCTCCCTTGACATAATTTTATACCTTTCTCCTTCCCCCCCCCCCAACTCTTGGTCGTGGGGAAGGGGGAGAGCCAGCAAATCGCAGCCATGCTTGTCGGGGTGGGCGGGGCCGCATCTGAGTCTGAACCAGACCCACTTCTGTACCCAGCTGTTATGACCCATCTTGATGTAGGCGGAGAAGGACTCTTTTTCTTACTTCAGTACAAAACGTAGTTGCACTTCAGATCTGAAGTTGGGCAGCCCCGAGGCCATTGGAACTTCCCTGATCCCTGCCATCTACTCTTGATGGAGATCCCAAGCTGACCCTAGGTCGGCCTGGCCATGCGCGGGGATGTGCGCAGCACCTGATCACTTTCTCAGCCGATTACAAAGCCCAGAGCCAGCAGCTGCACATTAGTGATGTTCTGTTGTCAGCGAACGCGGGAGCGGGTGACATGAAGCTTTGGAGTGATTCCACAGGCTCTGGGAATATGTCCCCTGGGCTACACGTACTAGTCCAGCACTGGGAACCGAGTGAACAGTGATGACGGAATAACTGGCTGTAGTTAAATAATTTGCTGTTTACGGCTTCTCTGTTTATGAATCAGTTAAAAGCCCCTTTAAGTGAAATTGGATAGACTACAAAGTGTTGGTTTCATGTGTTTTATTTGCAGTTTAATCAGCGTGATCCAGATGCCAGGGTGGGGGGGGGGGGCGCCGAGCTGGGCTTTAATTATCCCTGCTTTGCCCGAGTTAGGAATTCCCAGCGGTGCCGTCTGCGCCAAGATGCCAAAAACCGCATTGTTCTTTAATTAGCTGTTGTAATTGTTGGAGTCTAATCTCCGTGATTAGCAGCAGCATTAAATACAGCAGGAAGAATAGGCCTGTCCTCTGCCTCTGCCCCCGTCAACACCGCCTCCCCCTTCTGCAGAGGGGTCTGGCAGGAATCAATTAGAGCCCAGCCAGCGCTGGGTGGGACAGGAGGGACACCGGCCACCGCCAAGCGGCGGGGCTGAGGGGAGTGGGTTTATGTCCCCGGATCGCCCTCCCCCACCAGCTCGAACGCTGTGGCCCTGACCTGTCACCGAGGCATTGGGAGGGCCCTGTGGATGGCGGTTTTGCGGTCCCTCTCTCGGATGGAGAAATGGACCGCAGTGGGACCAGCTGTTCTGGCTTTGGGTCTCTTGCCTCATTCCTTTAACTGTGGGGATTTATTGAGCGTTCCTTTTGTGTCAGGCCTTAGGCCAGGTGCTGGGGGTGCAGGGCTGAACCAAGCAGGCACGGTCCCTGTCCCCACAGGGTGCGTCGTCTGAAGGAGGAGACAAGTGTCAGTCAAACCCTTGCACAGGTGGCAAGTTCGGTGCACGCTGGGAGATGCTATGAAGCCGTCCCTCAGGGATGGAGTTGAACAGTTAACTCACCTGGTCAGGTGAGCCGGGGTTCAGAAGGGTACCTTAGAGAAATGTCTAAACTGAGATCCAGTGAGTGACAGTCGGCCGGGCAAGGAGGCCAAGGGGAGGTCTATGAGGCAGCAGGAACAGCGTGTGCAAAGGTCCTGAGACAGGCTGAGTGTGATCTGCTGAGCTGGATTCACGAGCTCCTTGGACTCATCCCTTGTCCCTGCTGCTCCGTTGCCGTGGGAAATTTTCTGCGCGGCTCTGCTCCACTCTGCCTTAGTGTCCGGGTCACGGGGGCACGTGGGTGCTGCCTGATCGACTGGGCTTTGCAGGACACTGCATTTTGGTGAGGCGTGCACTTGACCCTCGTGTGCAGGGGGTGACCTCAGCCAGGGAGGGGACCATGCCAGGGCCCCCAAGTCTGCGCCCCCCACCCCCAGGGAAGGAGGAGACTTTAGGAAGCCATTTACAGAACCCAAGAAAATCTTGGCCTTGTGATGGAGGCCACCCCTCCCCCGGAAGCCCCGTGCTGGTGCTGACTTGGGATGTCCGTGGTGGCAGCAGGCCACCGATTCCGCAGGGTGTCTTGTGGGGAGGCCGGGTAGCCCAGTGGTTAAGACCCTGGACCTTGGAGTGCGTGCGACCAGCTAACCTGGGGCAGTCCCCAGTCCTCCCCGTCCTTCCCTCTCCGGTGTTTATTGAGCCTCTATTATGTGCCCATGTGGCAGCAGGCACCAGACGCCCCCGGGACTCTGGAAATCCAGGCTCCTTGGCTTCCGGGAGCTGAGACAGAAGAAATAGATCATCAACCCAGAAGCGGACAGTTAAAGAGGGACAGTCCAAGAAACGGTGCTCTGGGAAAACTCAAGGGGCTGTCAACAAGGCGGGCTGCAGCTGGATCCCGCCAGGGCCTCAGAGGCCATGATGAGGAACCTGGATTTGATCCCAGTCACCATGGAACACGTGGTCTGACCTGCAAGGTCAGGGGGACCCGGTACCTGGTCTCCCAAACGTCGCTGCTCTCGACACCACGCCCTGTGCCTCCTTTTCATGAATGTCAAAGGGGACTCCCCGTCTCGTCGTAAATGATCCAGACAGAAGTTACAGCCCAAGGAACCATGAAGAAACGCCGGAAGGCAGACACCCAGGTGTGGCGTCCCCTCGCCAATCGCTGCTGCCGACCAGGGGCGCGTGCGACGAGCTTTACCCAGACCCTCGGGGTGGCCGACTGGAGCCCAGCAGCCCCTGGTTCTCAGGTCCTCTCCCCCAACTCTCCCAATCCCGCCCCGAGATGGCGGGAGGTGGCCACTGCTCCCCAGCACCGTCACAGAAGCTCAGAAATACTTGCTGCCAATAGCCCGAGGTCCCCAGGTGGCGCGTGCATCTCCCTGCCCACGCGGTACCCGGAGACGGAGTCAGTCAGCCTGATTCCCCGCGGATTCCACGTTGGTGGGCCACAGCCTGGGAGATGGGTCCCGAAGGCCCTGGGACCGGGGGTTTGTGCTGTGAACAGGAAATGAGGCGACCTTGCGGCCAGCCAGGGGGGTCCTGCCTGATGCCCGTTGGCTCCTGCCAGGACCTGCCAGGACCTGACCAGGTTCGGCTGCCGATTCCTGACCTTCTGGATTCTTCTGGGAACCCTGCAGCTCATCGTCAGACTGTGGCTGGCCTCCTGTCAGTCACTGAGGCCTCGCTGGACGGCGGTGGAAGACCCTCCCCCAGGGACCCCCGGAGGCAAGATCAGGGCCTCAGGTTGGAGTCCAGAGCAATTGGAAGTAGGGTCCAGGGGCCTGGCGTCCGCCACGCGGTGGCCATGAGCAGGGTGCCCGACCTCCCGAGCCCCCGCTTCCCAACCTGGGGACGATCCACGGAGGCCACACCGGGGTTATTAAGGGCCTGCTCCGAGCCAGGCCTGGTGCTGGGGCTGGAGGAGACGCTGCAGGAGCAGGCGCACCTTTGACTTCACGGACTAACGGGAAGACGGTGCAGCCAGCCACCAACAGGGGCACCAGGGCGGCCGCAGTGGCCTCCTGAGATCAGCTGCTGGGCGGAAAAAGCCGAGTCTGGGCTGGAGGTGCGTGGAGTCCTGTCCTTGTGACGGGGGCCCCGGGAGGACGCGTTCCAGGGAGCCTGCATGTCCACTGAGGGTGGCAAACCCACCAAGTGACAAAGAGCTTGCCCAGGACAGGGGACAGAGGAGGACCGGAGTGACTGAGGAGAGCGGAGCTCTTGTGTCCTGCTGCAAAAACAGCTTCGCAGGGACGTCATCGGGACTCCCCCTTGGAGAAGGGAGCGCCCACCTGGGTCCCCAGGATCTGCGGGTGGGTCCTGCGTCCCCCTGGGCACACAGAGCCCGTCCTCACCGTGTCCAAGCCCAGGGATGTCCCTCGGAGGAGCTGGCCCTCCCTGACCCTCGCCAGTCAGGGGGCCCTTGTGTGGTCGGATGCTGGCCCTGTTAGAGGTGTCGCGCCACATGTGTCCCCTCCCCTCTTCCCTCCCGCAGTCTGGCCGCCAGGCCTAGATGTTGGCCGGGGCTGAGCGGCCAGCCTGGGCTTCCTGGCCTCACAAACAAGCCTCCGGGGGGTGCCAGGGCCGCGGGGCGGGACGAGGCTGCGAACAGCAGAGGTCTGTCTGGCCCTGACGTTGGCAGGCAGCCCCAGCCAGCCCCAAGAGCGTCACCCGGCCAGGTACCTGGGGCGCAGACAGGCCTGCCTTTGAGCAGGAGTGAGCCTGGCTTCCTGGGAGCCGCGGGGCTGGGTGACGGTGGCCTTGTCCCTGGGGAGTGTGCCCTGGCCGCCTCCCTGCTCAGCCCTGCCGTGGGCACCAGAGACCTCCGACTCGGAAGCATTTGCCATCCAGCAGGTCCTCAGAGGGGTGGTCTGCCTCAGGCAAGAGTTTGCGCTGGCTTCCAGAACATTCCAGCAGGGAGAGGTTGCACGGCGGCCCGAGCTGGGCGTCCTGAGCTCGCTGTCTGCCCCTAATCCTCCCTGGACACGTCCCTTTGTGCTTCCTGAGCGTCCGTCTCCTTATCTGTAAATTGGGATAATAACAGGGAAGGTTAGAGTGTGAACACACCCACACATGCTCACGCACACACACGTGCACACACACGTGCACACACACACACACACGCACACACATGCATGCACATGCGCGCACACACACACACCCACGTGCGTGGAGAACTGGTGGAGACCCAGTGAAGCCCAGGTCTAGCTGCAGGATCGGCATCAAGGACGACCTGAGGCGGCTGTCCCCTAGGCCCTGCCACAGGGACCCTGCAGTCCCCCAGCCCCTCCCACCTGGCCCCGCCCAGCCTGGGTGCCCTCCTGGCCCAGGAGCGTGCCTCCTGCCTGGCTGGCTGGTCCCTCCGTGGTGCCTCAGTCTAGAACGTTCCTCTTCCCCGTCTGTCTGGCAGGCTCCTGTCCATCCTTCCACTCTCCCCATCGCGGCCTCTAGAAGCTCTTCCTGGGCCCCCGGCCTCTGCCTGGACCTGCAAAGCCCCAGATCAGTTGTCCTCCTAGGGCGGCCCTGGGCCAGCTGTGCAGTGTCACATGGGAGCTGGAGGGTGGCACGCACGCTCCGGCCACCCCAGACCTGCCGCACGGGCACCTGTGGTGGGCAGGTGGCGGGCACGGGGTCCTGCCATCTGCAGGGTAATCACCCCCAGGTGATCCTGACCACCAGGCCGCCGAGCCCAGTGGGTGAGGCAGGGCTCTGGTTGGGGACAGGCTGCTGTCCCCCTGCTCTGCGGAGGGACCGGGACTCTGCAGGGCTAATAGGCTCCTGGGCCGGGCTGGGCTCTGGGCTCCTCGGGGACAGGGTCCATGTCCCTGTCTCCTCTTGTGACTGTGGCAATGGGGTGTCGTGTGCTGACGTGGATTGGATTCGCAGCCCACGATCACCCAGCCCCCAGGGATGGCCATCTCCTGGGCAGGGAGCCCGCCCCCCTCCAGCGTGGGGAGGGGGGGAGGGTGGACAGGGGGGAGGGGGGAGGGTGGACGGGGGGAGGAGGCAGCCCTGTCCTCCCAGGCGGGACGGGCACCGCGCTCTGTATTATGTTAATGTCATCTGGGAACAGGGCCGCGGGACGCGACCCTTAGCGGAATGCCCCGTCCCAGTGGGACAGGCCGCCCTGCACCCCACCCCAGCCCACTCCTGAGTGTTTGCTGAACCCAATCGGAGGGAGCTACCCTCATCCTCAGGCCGCATTGACGTCCTCGGCACCGTCTGTCACGGAGCTGGTGACAGGAGAGCCGGGTGAGAGCGCAGGTCTGGAGGCTGCAGCTGCAGGGCCTGGCCTGGCCAGTGGGTGGGCAGCGGAGTGAAGGGACGCGGACCGGGGGGGGTGAGTTCAGAAGGAGGAGGTGGCCCTGCCAGGCCCTGGTCCCAGTGGGAACCCGGTGAGGACCCAGGAGGCTCTCGGAAGCCAGAGGAGCAAGTCGTGCCTGGACCCGGGGGCGTAGGACCCAGAAGGGACGGGAGCTGGACAGGAGGGAGCCGGAGAGGAGGCTGCAGGGATGGGGTGGCAGATTTTCCAGAAGTTTCCAACGAGTTCCTTCCTCAGAGGAGGGTCCTCCTGGAGACCAGGCGCCTGGGTGGTGCTGGGGAAGCCGGGCGGGGCCGGCCACATCAGCCCTGTCCATCTTGGCCTGGTGACATTTCCACCTGGACTGTCCCTGGTGTGTGTGTGGGGGACAGGAGGAGATGGCCGGGGTCTCAGCAGCGTGCCTGGCCTCTACCCACCAGGTGCCCGTAGCACCTCACCCTCCCCGAGGATGACAAGAGCCACAACCAAAAATGTCCCTGGAGACTTTTAAGGTCACCCGTGGTCAGGGGAGGGGAGGAGCGGTCACTCCCTACAGCTGCTCCTTGGAGAAGGCCTGTCCTCGGGCAAAAGGCCTCACCCATTTGTAGAGGGAGGAGAGTGAGATTCAGAGGGAGCAGCCAGTCCTGGGGGCTGGTCACTCACGAGGACCTCCTGACCCCCCAGCACCCAGTGCTCCTGGCGCCATCTTGGAAGGCTGGGGTTGTGGGTGTCCCCTCCGCCTCCACGCCCGATGGCCTGGCGCAGGGCTCCGAGCTCTCCCAGCCCAGCCCATCGCAGAGTCTTGAGAAGTGCCCACTGGTTGGCAGCTGGCACCCCGAGACTGCACCTGCCTCCCGAGCCTTGCAGACCCTGGACGGGGGAGGGACGTGCAATTTCTGGGACACTCAGTGGCAGGTCCTCTCCGCAACCCCTTCAGAGCCTCTTTATTCTAGAGCCCGCCAGGCCTCAGTCCCTCGGAGGTCCTGGCCGGCGAAGGCCGAGCGCCTTTAACCCTTCTCTGCCCGCGGCTCGCCAGCCAAGCTGAGGGTCCTCCCCGTGAGCGCAATGGCCCAGTTGAATTCCATCTGCAGGCTCGGCCTCCTGGCGCCCAGCGGCCCCTGGGTGTGGAAGGGTTCCAAGCCCTGATCAATCCCTTCCTTTATTCAGGGCAGAGTTACAAACGGGCTGCAGTCGTGGGAAGGAATTTCCACCTCGCGGTGCAGAGCAGCCCTCATGAAAGATGGATTGATGGCACCCCCCACACCGGGATGTCACCGGCCTCGGAAAAGCAGTGAATAAGTATCTGCCGGCCCACTCTCTGCCACAAAAACCCTTTCAGGTCAAATTTCTCTGTGCCCAGGTGCATTTGATTTAAACCGTTTCACTGCAAAAATATAAATAAAATAGAGGCGGCTTCGGTAACCAACAAGAGAAACAGCCTGGTAAGACGGTTTGACGTGGGGAAAACAGGGCCTTACAACTGTGGGTCGTAGAACCACTGCCTTCCCCGGCCCTGGGCACTGGCCGTGGATTGTAAACAGCACAAGCCGGGGACCATGGGAACATGTACCTCCAAAGAGACGGGACTCCCAGGTTCAACCCTGACTCTAGCTGGGTGAGTCACTTGGTCTCTCTGGGCCTCAGACTCTTCCTCTGTGCAATAGGAGACCAGATGGCCTCCGTAACCTTTTGTTTTCATGAATGTAAGAACATTCCAGCCAGGCACAGCGGCCCGAGCCTAATAATCCCAGCAGCTTGGGAGGCTGAAGCTAGAGGATCGCAAATCTGAGGCCAGCCTCAGCCACTTTGCAAACTTCTCAGCAACTTAGAGAGATCCCGACTTGAGGTTAGGAAAAATGAGCCCACACCCCACCCAGCTCCCTGGGGCTACAGGAGCCCCTGGGGAAACAGCGGGGTCTGCACACAAGGCCTGGCAGATAGAAGCCCCCAGAAGCCTCCCCTCGGGCTGAGGGTGTGAGTGGAGCAGAGTGGAGGAGCCAAGCTTCCCTTTGCAGAGTAAGGAATGTGCCGGGAACCGACTGTGGACCCCTGAGGGTCACGTGCACACAGACCCCAACTGCCGTCTGCGCCGGTGGCTGTGGGTCTCTGGGGCTGGTCTCGTCCAAAGCACAGTTAAAGCTTCACCCGCCTTAGGAAGCATTAGAGGTGGGACAGGGGATCAGCAGTGCGCCTTCCAATCCATTCGTGTGGTGCTTGGGGTAAGTGGCACCTCGAGACACAGTGACTGGGTCTCCCACAGCTCTCTGTCTCTTGCTGTGTCATGCTCGGAGCTACCTCTGGACTCTGTTGGCAAGAAGGCCCCGAATCCAGAACCATGAGCCAAAAAGAAACTTCTTTGCTTTATAAACTCACCCAGTCTCTGGCGTTGTGTCATCCGCAACAAAAATAATGGACAACTTCCTCGCCTCTGCCCTACTTGACGGTGATGTTGTGGGACATATAAGCAAATAGCTTTATCTCAAATTCTTACAGAAACAGACACTTGGCCATTCAGCCCTCCTCACGGAGGGCAAGGAAAGAAGAGAAGCCGGTTCAGCTGGTCCAGCCACTTGGGTTATGGGTTCCAATGCATTGGGTTCCCAAGACTTTCTGGAAAAAAAAAAAAAGAAAAGAAATCTCACCTGTGCCTTTACCAGGCGGTTGACAGGTGACGCTTTTGGACAGGGGCTTGCAGCAAGTTCAGGGCCAAGAACACGTGTCAGCTATTTCCAAGGAGCCGGCCGGCCAGGGAGAGGCTCGGGTGGAACAAGTTAGGCCACTTCCCAGCCCCCGCCACCACACCCAGGCTCCCGGCCCCCGCCAGCTGATCCCTGCAGACAAAGGGGCTCTCTGATCCCGGGACACTGCGCTGGCCAGGTGCGCTGCCCAGAGCGCCATCTTTGCACCTGATTCTCTACCTGTCCTCCTCCGCCTGGGGCCTCCTGATTGGCTACACACTTGCCTGGGCCCCTGCTCAAAGGTCACCTCCCGTGTCCTCCCTCCCGGGCTTGCAGAGGCCACACTGCCCTGGCTGTCCCCTTCTGCTGGCTTTGGCCATCAATTAGCACGAGGTACTGACACTGTCTGTCTTCCAAGGTCCCCTGTGAGCTCTAAGTGGGCCTCACATTCGCCTTACGGACTGTGTGTCTGCTCTCACACTCACACTCACACTCACACTCACACACACACACTCACACACACACACACACACACACACACATTCATTACTCAAGTATGTCATCTGTTCCTCATCCTCAGTACCTGGCACATGATTTTCTCTCCACAAACGTGCGTGACTCACCTCTGCACACTGATCGTAAGATAACCCTCAGTTTCAAAATGCTGAAGTGGTACCAGGCACCATGGCGCACGCCTGGACTCCCAGCAACTCTGGAGGCTGAGGTAGGAGGATCGCAAGTTCAAGGCCAGCCTCAGCAACTTAGCAAGACTCCTGTCTCAGAATTAAAACTACAAAAAGGGCTGGGGTGTGGCTCTGTGGTTAAGTATCTCGGGGTTCAATGTGAGGGGGGAACATGAAATAGTGAGGAAAAAAATCTGCAAATCAGGAGAACACGGCACAGTCGCCCGCGACCCCCTGCGCCCACGAGAAGGAAGAGGTCCCCTGACTGCGCTCGGCTTCTCGGTGGGTTCCAGAACCTTCTCCCGTCCGTTCTGCCCTCCCAATGCACTGTTACAGAGCCCGATTCATGGGGACAATGCTGGGGTCTCCAAAGGGCTTCAACCTTTCTTTTTTGCTTCTTTGGAAAACTTGTGTGTGCTCCACAGGGACACGCGGGAGCAAGTGACAGCTGAGCCACCAGGGGTGGGTCAGCCGCCAAGGGCAGGCTCAAGGCGCCTGAGCCGCCGCTCCCTGGATTAAGTCCAGCTCCGTCCGTAAGGTCAGGGGCCACGTCGCTGTGTCATCCCTGTGTCTCCTGCACGGTGCTCTGCACGTGGCAGGTCCTGGAGGAGTGGATGAGCGCTCCGGGGACTTGGGTGACCAAGGCCACCAGGGCTGCTGCCCCTTCCCCCTCCCCAACCTGCTCCTGACCCTTCCCCTCCCCTCATCCCTCCCAGGCTGAAGGCCACCGCGCCGCGGCCCTCCCTCCCCAAAGCCCCTGTTCTTCTGCCTGCTGGGGCTCTTCCGGGCACCTCCGGGGTTCCTGGTGCCGGCTGGGGGGTCTCCTCCCCCTGACCCAGGGCGTCCAGCACAAGACAAGAGCAGCCAGGGGAAAAAGCACATCTGTCCCTTCTGTCACCTGTGCCCAGTGAGTGGCGGGGCCTTCGCTCACGGCTGGAGGGTCTGTTCCCAGTGCTGGGGTCGGGTGGAGACTCCAGAGGGCCTCAGCAGAGCACGTGGGCCAAGGACCTGCCTGCAGGCCACCCGAGCACAGTGGACAGTGGGCCACCTTGCCACGGCCCAGGCTTGACGTATTTTGCTAAGGCACCGCAGGGATGGCATGGCCCAGCTCCTGGCCTGGGTGGACCTGGCATGACTCCCGGTGGATTTCGGGCAGCTCCCTGACCACCCGGGACACTGTCCAGTAAAACTGAAGAGGAGCTCAGTTAGGGCGAAGTGAAAATTCTGGCTCAGGTCCTGACCTGTGGCCTGCTCCCCGAGAGGCCTCCTAGACCCCAGGCTCCTCTTCTGAGGCTGGATGTTAGATGCAGCACCTGGCACTAGGGCAGAGACCCAGAGAAGACTTAGCGCTGGGGCACCTGTCATGTCATTTAAGCCTCCCAGGACACTGCGAGGTAAATGTCAGCCACTGACGTCACGCTGTTCTGAGTAGTTAGATCAGAATCACTCGACTTGTGTGTGTGTGTGTGTGTGTGTGTGTGTGTGTGTTTCATTATCAACCTCCTAAGAAGAAAACTTTAATTTGATTTAAATTCTCCCCAGTGAGAGAAATTAAAACTAAGGGATAAGGCTGTATGGGATAGGATTGAGCTTTGGGGTCCACAAACCAATGCAATATTTAAGATTTATTGTTTTGTGTGTGCACACACCCAACATGGTACTCGGCTTAGCAGTCTAATGGATAGATGAAGAGGCCCAGAGGGGTCAAGCAACTCACTCAAAGCCACACAGCCAGGGAGAGGGAGCCAGAGTGAGGTCTTTGGGATAGCTCTACACCCCTGGTGACAGGTGGCCGCGACTCTACCAGCTGTTCCGTGTCTGGCTTTGCTCCCACGATGACGTGTCTTGTGGATCACTCTGCCGTGGCGCATACCCAATGCCTCCGTTGTTTTGATGCGTGGAGTCGCTTCTCTGGAGCGTCAGCGTCAGAGGATTTATCTAACCAGACCCACGGCGGCCGGGCTGGGCTTGTTTCCGTCTTGTGCAATTAAAGCCTCCACCGTGACGCTCCGCCTGCACCCCCACGGGTGGCTTCAGCACAAGGAACCGCGAAGGTCACACCCTGCACCTGCCTGAGAGCCTGGCACGGGTCAGGGGCAGGAGCCGAGAACCCCCCCACACACAAGGTCACCCAGTCCCCGCCACCTTTTATGCAATTGGTCACCTAGGAGCCTCCTGTCCTCTGGCCTTTCCTTGCCTCTGAGGCTCCCAGGGTTAGCTCTGAACTTGGGTCTCCGCTCCTTAGCACAAGGCCCCCGCGGATTCCTCTCCTGCTGCCTGGGGACCGGCTTGGGGCATCAGGAGCCTCACGGGGGTCTCCCGGGTCCTGGGGCCCCCTGGGCTGGGGGGACAGCAGGCTCTTCCCGGGTCGCTGGTCTTTTCAGAACTTTTCCAGGACCCTGGACGGGAGCGGATTCTGCAGAGTCTCCGCAGCGTCTCGGTCGGGGGCTGGGACTGACCTTCGGCAGCCGGGGAGACCGTGGAGTGGCCAGTGAGCGGCCACAGGGCCAGAGGGGCCCCTCCTCTCCCCCGCAGACGGGCCAGTCAGAGCGCCCCGAGGCGGAGAGGGCTGGGGACGCTGCAGCAGAGCGCCCGTCACTAAAGCCACTGCACCTTAAACCACCTGATAATAAACCCAGGGGCGGCCGTTCTCCTGGAGGAAGAGCAGCCTAACG